AAACGACAGCAACTTGTCTGTTCCCCTTCCCCCAATTCCCCAATAAAAATCTTTAAAAAAAAAAAAAGAGTCGTTTGCTATCTTTCGAGAATGGGTTGGATATAGTTGTTCTTGGAGGTGACCTGTTTCTCAGTCCCTTCCAAATGATACAGATGGTACTCATCAAACACATTCAGTGTCCTGACAATTTCCTTTTTTCTTGCTTTTAGCATCCAGCCTGTTTATGGAGCACAGCACCCACCTCTGGACCCTCGGCTCACCAAAAAGTAAGTCAAGATGTTTTTCCTTTCATACAGGTACTTCTTCCATCACCCCCAAATCCTCCCCTGCTTTGTTGAAATGACAGTTTCCACTTTGATCTTTTCTAGCTACTCCTCTGCTCTCTTTTGGATCAGAAGATGAGCTATCTAAATAGTCCGTTACTAAGTAAGAAATTAATTCACTTCCAAGATTTTTTTCACTACATTGGAAGTGGGTATATGTAGGGTTTAGAGTTGGATTCTCTGTCCTGGTGAAAAGGTCTTTATTGATTGACTATTGTCCTGAAATTGGATGATTGACAACCTTCTAGCAGGAGATCTGGTTTCTGGGGCCCATCGCTTCTGAACATAGGTAGGTTTGCCGCCTTCGCCTCACTTACACCCTGAGAACTAGGGCAAACTGAATATAACCATAGGGCTGGCTTTCTTCAGGTCCTCTTTCTCTGACATGCTCAAGGAAATCCAGCCATACACCAGAGTTAAAAGCTTGCTGGAGGCTATTTCTCTAGTAAAATTCTAATAAATTATCTTCAAACACAACAGAGGCTCTAGCTTAATCCAAGCTGTGTGTCTGCGTATCATACTCCCTATTATCACTTTATCAAAACTTTAATGGGCCACCACTCAGCCACAATGAACTTAAATGAGATGGCCATCTTCTCAGANACTCATGGCAGCCCAGCTCCAGGTCGAGCTGTTGTTCACCATCTTAGCTGTAGAGGGCAGTGTCACTGGCCCTCATGTGGGATCCGAACCGGGGATCCCACTTGCTGCTCAGAGCTGACATCCCAAGCCAGCTCTTAATGAATGTGCCACTTGGCCGGCCTCTCCCAATCTTCTTAAGATTGCTTAATTTATTTCTTGAAAAGATGATACATGTACATGATACTAATCTTTGCCACCGGGTCTTCCAGTCCTCCAGTTCCTCTTCTGAACCACTGCTGCTGATGGCTCATGTATTCTTTCAGATACTCTATAAACACATAGATTTAGTCTTAAGGTTAAATTAATTAAATGTTTCTGCCAGTCCTTTTGCCATAGTTTCCACATTTATCTCATTGTTAATTGAAGTTTTTCCTCCAGTAGTTTCTTCAGTGAGGAGTTAAGAAAACCATATTTTCTGAGGTCTTATATTTGAAACATGTTCTTCTGTCGCCTTTGTGCTTGGACAACAGTTTGGCTTGATATATAATTATTCTTGGGTCATTTATTGTGTGTGTGTGAACTATTACAGAAAAGTACATCAAACAATTGTGTGGTATGATAACTTGATGAATAATCACAAAGTGAACACCCCAGAAGTGAGAACCCCACAAGCCACCTTGTGTCTGTTCTCTAACACACCTCCCTCCTTCCCCCAAGACAACCACATCCTTTATTTTAATTACTCTTTGCTTTCTTTATGTTGCCACTATGGATGCATCCCTAAACAATACAAATCATTTTTGCCAGTGTTTGAAATGTATAGGAAGTCTAACAATTAAGTTTGCAAACTTGCCGCCATGCGCTTACATTGGCATCTCTGTACAAACAGCTCGGTAAGGTTTCATAACCTTGGTATATCAGTGCCTCACAGCTGTGTTCACATTGATGTGTGGCGGTGTCTAGCTGAGTGGCATTCATCATTGTTCTTGCGTGTTTTTGTGTGCTGTCATGAGGATATCTGAGCTTGAATTAGAGCAGCGAACAAACATTAAATCTCTTAGGGCCGGGCAAGGTGCTCCTTGGTTAAGAGTTGGCTTGGGAGCGCTAGCTCTGAGCAGCAGGGTCAGCGGTTTGGATCCACATGGGCCAGTGACGCTGCGCCCTTTACAGCTAAGATGGTGAACAACAGCTCGACATGGAGCTGAGCTGCATGAATCGCCGGAGACGGCATAGGCTTCAGTGGGGCTGCAGTGGGCTGCCTTAAGCTACTGTGAGCGGCTGGCAGCCGGCGTGAATGGCAGTCCAATGACCGGCGACTGATCTGCCTCAGCCGAGAAGAGCGCAATGATCACAATACCAACTTGGGCCAGTGAAGCTACATCCTCCAGAACTAGACTGAAGAACCAAAGGACAAGCAGCTTGTCTGTTCCCCTTCCCCGATTCCCCAACGCTGTTCCCTCCCCCAATTCCCCAATCTTAAAAAGAAAACCAAAACATTAAATTTCTTGTTAAACTTGGCAAGAGTGGAAGTGAAATCAGGGACATGTTAATTCAAGTTTATCGTGATAATGCCATGAAGAAACCAGCATGTACAAGTGGATTAAACGTTTTTCTGAGGGGAGAGAACGCATCACTGATGAAGAGAGGTCAGGGCTGCCAGTAAAGAGCAGAACTGATGAAAACATTGCAAAATTTCATCGAATTGTGTGTCAGAATGGTCGGTGACTGTGAGAAGTATAGCTGACCAAGTAAACATCGATAGAGAAACAGTTAGGAAAATCTTAACTGAAAATCTTGGCATGAGAAAGGCATGTGCAAAAATGTTCCCAAAGGAGCTCACTGATGAACCAGAAGCAAAGGAGAGTCAAAGTTTGCCAAGACCTTTTGGAGAGGCAAGATGATATTTTGGGCCAAGTTACCACTGGTGATGAAACATGGGTGTACCAATATGACCCTGAAACAAAGCGTCAAAGTGCACAATGGAAGTCAGTCAATTCTCCACAACCAAAAAAGTTC